GTGTGTGTGTGTGTGTGTGTGTGTGTGTGTGTGTGTGTGTGTGTGGTGGTCCTCCTCTCTGAGAGCACACTGTAGTTTCATGAACCCGGGTGTGGCTCAGACTGCTCTCTGATGGCGGTTAGTAGCCTTGCCGCACCCCACCACCAGCTCCCCCCCCGCCCCACCGAATCTTATTCCTGACCATGTGCTGACATGCCTTGTGTCTGTTACAGCCCAAGATGACCCCCCAGGAGAAGCTGAAGCTCCGGATGCAGAAGGCTTTGAACAAGCAATGTGAGCATGCACATACACACACACACACCCCTAGTGAAAGCTCAGTCCTCAGCCCTGATTGATGCAATGTTACACTGCTTCACACTCGCGCAACTTCGTGCAGTGGGAACAGCTGTCTAGCTGGGAGAGCCCAGCATGTGTTTACTGTGGGATGAGATTGTCCATCTCTCACTTAACACCAGATCGCTTATGAATATAAGCATAAATACTTGAGCGACTAACGCCAGTGTAGCTGTGCAGAGCGCTCACAGAGCGGCAGTAGGCCAGGCACCTTTCCTCGTTATGCAGCCTGGGGTGATGAGGTCTCCCTGGGCACTGGGAGCAGGGTCTGACTCTGGAGAGACTGACGCCTTCCTGTCTGCCCTCAGCCAAGGCGGATAAGAAGGCAGCCCAGGTGAAGATCCAGCAGCAGGAACACAAGCGGCAGGTGCGTGGTCATGGTCTGGTCATGGTCGTGGTCGTGTTCTCTCACATGCACAGAAACGCGGCCCGGTCCCGGTCACTCTCCTCCTCGTGGCAACATCGCAGGCTGCCTGTTCCTCCGCAGACGATCCTTCCACAGTTTTCTAGTGCATGCTCTCCTCACGGCTCTGCACTTATCTTTCTCTACCCTTCCGCCCCCCCCCCCCACTACTGCAGGAACGGGAGGGCGAGCTGAGAGCCATGGCGCGCAAGATCCGCATGAAGTAAGTGCACGCGCGGGTTGACCTCGAGGGCCTTGCTGGCGGGATGTAGCACTGGGGCAGGTCGCTGTGTCCCGGGGCGGCGGTGATGCGGTGGTGCCCGTTCCAGGGAACGTGAGCGGAGGGAGAAGGAGAGGGACGAATGGGAGAGGCAGTATGGAAGGCAGAGTCACTCCCCCTCCCCCACCTACAAGTATGGTGAGTAGCCACTTTTCACGCTGCTTTAGAGTTTTAAGATACCATCGTCATGTGATAAGGTGCGGAGACCTGACAATAGTAATAAATCTTTATTCTGTACCCAGGCCGGGAACATGGCTCATCTAGAAGGTATGTAAAGACTTCTCTCTCACACACACACACACGCAGACACCCAGGGGCCTCCGTGACACTCAGGGCCACTTCCACCCCGGCTGAGTCTCACGGTGTGTCGGATAGAGTGCCAGGGAACAGGAACACAGCCCCCCGTGTGCTGGGGAGAGAGCTGTCGCAGCAAACCCGCCCCCAAATTGTCACACCACAGGATTCACAGCTGGTGGGATTCAAAGTTGGTTTTTCTTTCTTTCCTTTTGTAAATGACTTGCTGGTTCTGTGTATAAGGAAGCTTCAGTTGGTAACATGGGTATTTCATCCTGTAATGAAAATGAAATGAAAATGTTTTCAATTAAGCCTAGTGTGATATCATTAGCCAGCTCTGGATAATTCCAGGAGGGAATGAATGTTTATAAGAAGACAATTTGTACTTTGTAGGTTTCTGTGTGGGTATTACAGTATGATGCCTTTCCCTTCAGGAAATCTCGGTCACGCTCACGCAGTCCATACTACAGATACTAAGAGATGAACCCCCACCCAGAAGAACACTTCCTCCACATCTTCTCTTAGCCGGACCTCTTGGCTGCGGTCGTCACACCCCCCCAGCGGTTTTTTTTTTTTTGTCTTTTCTCCAATGGAGGTCATTTTCACATAACCGACTACTGAGCAGATTCTGAGATGGAGACAGTGATGGTGAGACAGTGATGGTGAGACAGTGATGGTGAGACAGTGATGGTGAGACAGTGATGGTGAGACAGTGATGGTGAGACAGTGATCCGACCACGTCTGCGAACCCCCGAGAGAAGTTTTATACCAACAGAACGGCCAAGAAAACGAAGCGCGGTGAGCGAGTCTGTAACAGCAGTGTATTTCTGCGAGCTATAAATATGGAAACAAAAAATTACAATAGATACAATAAATTATGATCTTTCTTTTGTTGATCACGGCATTAGGCTGGAGGAAATATAATCAGATATTTTGATTATATTCAAATCCTGTGAGGTATTACAAGGAAGTAATCCCAGATCACGTTCAAAATTATCCCGAGTACGAGAACTTGGTTGCATTCAGGTGGCTGTCCCCTTCCATCGGGGACCTGGTGACAGATGCTGAACTGGCCATCCCCACATGATGTACGCTTAGAAATGAAACGAGGATCTTGTGACGTAGCTTTGGTCTGTGCCTGACTGTGGATGTCTAACGGCACTGGAGGACAAGCTGGGATGGCGGGAAAGATGGTCCTCCCATGTAAATAAATTCCCTCAGATTTCAGATGAACTACCATGAATATGAAAGGTGCTAATTTGATTTTAAGTATCTTTCTTTCCATACTCAATCTCTCCCTGGCAAATTAAACTGTATATACTGCCCTGTTATTAGTGACTGTAAAGGCAAGTTATTTTTTTGTGTTATTGGTAAATAACTCTGCTTACTGGGATGTTCCAAATAAAAGGCATATGAATAATACTCTGCACACCTGGGTCTTTTTTTTTGGTGAATCTGCGGTCACTCTTGGTGTATGTGGGTATGAGGTCACCCTGCCTTGAGCCCTATACAGTGAAAAGGCGTTTGACGTGGAGAGCCACATTGCCTAAATTACAGGGTCCCCCCCCCCCTCCCCAAAAAAAAGCAACACCAGTTAATATCACCCAAGTTCCTATGAAGTGTTAATATGTTTATAAACAAACTGCAATAATTAATGTGCAACAATGTATACATATTTATCCTTTAATTCATGCTGCTAATTTCAAGTGATTTGCTTTAACAAGTGCCCTCAACGTATTTCTGGCTGCTTCTGTTTAAATAAAACCTGCTTAAGCCAGTGTCTGGAGTAGGGCTCCTGTTTCCCTCCACCAATAGGTTCCAGGATTGGTTACTTGCATCCTTTCAACAATGTGAACATCTCCATGTGATAATCCAAGATTAACCATGGCTGACAGATTGGGAATACCAGTCTGTACTATGAGGACAATATACCTGTACATTGGAGGGAAATCTGATGTGGGTTCCGATATTCTATCTTCATTCCCTGTCTTCCAATGGCTTATTCTAATCAGGATCTGGAAGCTCATCACAGGGCACAAAGGCAGGGGTATGTCCTGGATTGGATGACAATTGACTGAGGCACAAACGCACTCATACAACACAAATAATTTCGGGAGATGCTTGTCATTGGACTGTCAGAGGAAACTGGGAAAACCACAAGTGACAGGAAGAACATGTGAAACTCCACACACCCCCAGGATGGGAGTCGCACCCCGGCTCTGGACACCCACAGCAATGGGTGCTACCTTCACCAATGTTTATGGAGAGTATGTGTGAGTACCTGCCAGCTTAGAAACTGAAAAATAAACCCAATAATGTATTTCTTTCCCCAAATGAAACGTGAGAATCATTGCACGGTTCTCCATAACACAGGAAGGCTCCATTACACTAGGTTTAGGAAAGTCAATTTCTTCAGGGCGTTCAGGGCGTGTTGGTTTTTCTTCTACTTAACGTCCTGAATGTTTCCCTCATTGTTCGTATAAGAAGTTGCCTCAGCCGGTGTTCCTGGTTTAAATCATTTAATACTTGAGAAGTCACTCAAAAGATACAACCGTTCAAAAGGCTGCAGTTCCCCACCTTTGTTTCACTGGCTGTGCCAACCCGGCAATGTCTCAACATGACTGTGTGGTCCAGCCGGAAAACGTAATGCCTGGCGTCGTGCCCGTTATGTGCCACCCTGGGAGTATAACCATGCGCCACCGGGAAGCTGAATAGTGTAACAGTCCACCCTTTCAACGCCGTGGTCATCTACGTCCTCTGAAAAAATTCGGACTATTTTAAAACGGCTCGAATGGGCAATTCAGTGTCATGATACACATAACTGCACACAGATAATACAGAATCATGCCACAGTTTAATCCTACACCAAAATTACCGGTCAACATCCACCTTTTTCAAAAGGGTTGCGTATCCTTTTGTGAAAGCAACACAGTAAGATACTAGACTGGCAACTTCACCGGCTGAGAACTGAACCACAGATTTCTGTTTGATCTACCTCGACAAGTTCCCTCCTGAGGCAAATGAAACATGATATCAATGTTGTCTTCCAGTTGTTCCTTCCTCGACTGGCCTCTAAAAAGACGTTTTCGGGCGTGGAGTATCTTGTCGGCAGGCGGCGCTGAATTCTTCTCTTACCCCAACCCCCCCCATTAAAGTTGCAATTATCTGAAACAGTACAGCTCTAATTCGAAGCAAACATTATACTCATGGAGGAAACATCTGCTAATATATAAGTATTTACATGCAAAAAAAACTTATTTGGTAGTATATTTTGTTTTAGACACATTTAATTATTTTGATTCATTTGTTAATTATGATTATTAACTGTATAACATCTTTCGCAGTGTGTATGCTTAAATGTAACTCTCTACTAGTCTAGAAAGGCAAAAACGAAAAGCAACTTTAGTTTCGGAATCAACCGGCCACACGAACACCTGGCTTGTGCGTCCTCAATAGCTGAACCCACTTCCTCTTCACCCACATCCTTCAAACAGGGTAGGCAGCAGTGCCCGATCACTGCACTTTTAATTACAGCACACGGTATTTTTTTATGAAAAGAGAGGCGACACAATGTTTTTACATATTAAATTATAAAACGGTGGCGATCCCGAGTGTAACAGTGCCGGGGATGTCACGCATTTCGGAAGCGGTGTGGAGCGAAGCATGAGGCGGCTGGGGGCGGGGTCGGGGTCGGAGGATCACTAACGGGCGGCGCCTGCTGTTATGCCTCCCCAGCCCCTTCTCCTCATACGCTGCGGGGCTCGTAGCCTGAACTTGAACACAGTCTGTGACTGAGGACTGCAGCGTCGGCCGTGTCTGAGAAGTAGTCACCCAACTCCGATCTCTCTCGCCATCTCACAAAATCTTATCATTATATAGATATTTGAGGGGGCGCAAAGCAGAGACCCCTGGATCCTTGCTGCGAACAGGATGTCCCGACGTAAACTCGGCAGCCGACCGCAACACCTGAGTGCAATTCAAGGTAAGCGTTAAATTAGAAGATCGCGTTATTTATCGCTGATCGCAATACTGGTACATTTAAATCATACCGCCTTTTATTCCGTCCCTTCTGCAACTGGCCGAACAGATTAAATAGGGCACCACTGTCCCTCCGGCCGCTGAGTTTGTAATTTCACTTTTCTCCAAGTCCAGGTTGGGTGCACCTTGACGTTAAACTTCAGTCACACATATACTGTTAAGAAACCATCTTAGGTGCCGTGCACAGGTCGTTCTTGTTTTCTGCCCGGTTATGTGTTTATTAGTCCTACCTGCTGGAGGTTGTAAAACAATATAGGCTACGCATCGACATTTTCTGACTCTCGTAGGGTACAAGGCACCGCACTTCCTTATTGCATCTTGCCGGTAAAGCAGGTTCTGCTTCGTTTTTCCACGTTAAAAGTCTTTATATTTATCTTTTTTGACAAGACAGGAGCGCTTCTTAGGAATGTGGCGCAGACCGCGTGTTAGAGACGCTCGGTCCTTGTGACAGAAGGAGGGGGGGAACTTGCTTATACCTTCGCTTTCTCTCGATTAATTTTACTCCCCCCTCGTTTTCCCTATCTTTTATGCCCTCTGAAATGACTGCATACTTCGTAGAATATTTTTTCTGCACTCACTGGCAAAGTTAAATGACCTCCGCTATTTTCATTTCCCCGTATTCAGAAATGTTCTTAAGCAGTTTTTTTTTTATTTCTTTTTGTAAGTTTTTTCGTCTCCTGTGCCTCCCTGACCACAAACGTCCTGACCGCGCCTTGTTCGTAGAGGTGCTGCACGAACCCTAGGCATGATACGAACAGGAAAGGTGACATTTTTGAATAACCACTTGTGAAATATTTCCTCTTCAGCACTGTCTGTACCTGTTCCAGCACTGATGACTTTGCTGGGGCAGGTGTATCCAGTCTTCACTCTTACCATGCTCTCATGACAAAACAAAAGCCAGCGAGTGGTATATTGCTGGTGGCCCCTGTTCAGGACAGATAACGCTGATAACGCTGAGTGGGGACCCTACGTTATCACCAGGCGTCTATCTAGTCCCAGGGTGTCTTCTTGGGACGCAGGACAGCTGAAAGAGAACTCGTTTATGAAATCAGTCAGTCCTGATCGTGTTCAGTTATCGCATTATGAAAGCCTAATAATTCAGTGATGTATATGGATTCTGCTGTCCATCAACCGTTCGGGGGTCTTGGGTTTGGCAGTCTTGCGTCATCACTTTAGAAGGGAGTCTTGCATTGTGTGTGTCCTCCTTTTTGTATCTCAGCATTCATTATCTGACGTGTGCCATATGAAATTATGGTCGTCGTTCATACCCTGATGTTTACAGATGCTGCTGTTGTTGGTACATGAGAGAGAGAGCGAGAGCGAAAAAGAGAGAGAGAGAGAGAGAGAGAGAGAGAAAGACAGAGATAGATTTGTGCAGCAAAGACACCTGCCTAAACGACAGACTGGCAGTAGCAGGAGCAGTTGAAGTGGTGCTTGTGAGAGGAAGTGGTCAGTGTTTGCTGACCAGACAGAGGTTGCTGACAAAAGATAGATGGGGGGGGGGGGGGGGTAATGTTTAACTGAAGCCTGTCAGAAATGTGTTATTTTCAGAAGGCAATTCATTATTTTCCAATAGGTTGTTTTCCGAAAGCAACAGGGCTCTTGTGTTTTGACAGAGGCTGTCCAAGCTTCTTGCTCATTTTGAATTCCCCAGTTCAAAACAAAAAGAAAATAGAGAAAGAAAAATGTCAAGCTAAATATTTGCTCTTCATCGGCGCCGGTCGTCCGTCTGTCTTTGATCTGTCTTCCCAAGACGTACGGCTTTAAACGCGTTTTCCTCTTCTGTGCGTCTGCAGATGCGTGTGAGCCGGGCACCGTCGCTCCCACTGAGCCCGTGGCCGGGCCGCTGCTGCTGGAGAGGGTGTCGCAGGTGGAGGCAGGAGGCCGTGACCTCCTGACCTGTGGCCAGTGTGGACAGGCCTTCCCGCTCGCTCAGATCCTCGCGTTCATCCAGCACAAGCAAGGCGGCTGCGGCGTGGAGGCGGTGTGCCAGGGCCAGGCCGGTCTCCAGGGCCATACCCCGCCCTCCCCAGCCAGTCGCTCGCTGCAGCGGGGCCCTCCGGTGGCCAGTGGGAGGCTCGAGTCGGGTTACGTGGAGCTGAGGAAGGCCACGGACCAGAGCCGGGGGGAGGATCTTTACATGAAAGCCGAGCACAGAGCAGGTGAGTGTCGGCCCCTAATTAATGTTTTTGTCCCCCTCCGTTTAACGAACTTCCCCCAGTCCGACTCATTAGCTCTGCGTTGCTGTGACGGTGATGCCTCTGTGAGTTAAAGACGTTGGCACTAATTATGTGGAATAGACCGGCAGCCCTGCACCATGGCCCTGGGGGTGGAGGGGGGGGACGGTGGGGGGCGGGAAGGGCCGACCCAAAGCTCCCGGCGCTCCCAAGCACCTGAGCTCACCCTCATCTCCTTGACTCAGTCTCTCAGGTGAAGTGGCCAGGTAAACACTGCACAGGCAGGACACCATGCTCAGCCTGCCAATCCCCCCCCCACCAAATGCAGAATGGTACCTTCCAAGTCACATGTACCATTAATTTCCACAAATTTTCACTGCTAGTCATACTGCGAATGATCGGTATGTGACAAATAAAATTCAAATTTGATTTCTTTTGCTGGCCCAGGGTTCTTCTAATAAACCAGAGGCTGTCGTCTGTAGCATTCCTGTCCTGGGGGGGGGGTTCGAGTGCTTAAAAAATCTTGGGTTTTTAAAAACGCGCAGTGTAGCTCAGCTGTAATTCATGAGGGGAGGGCAAAAAAAAACAAAAAAAAAAAATAGGTCATCTAGGTGTTGTTTGTAGGCGCTCTGAGTTATGGACCTGCAGTTCCTGTTGCAGGCCCCCGCCAGCTGTCCATGAGCGGGCATGTGCTGGGCTGGGGGGGGGGGGCGAACCAAACCGGTGTCCATCTAACCCCCAACCCACCGCCACCACGAGTCCCAGCCGTTTCTCGCCTGCCCTGCGTAGGCCTGCCCGCACTGCGCAGGTGTCAAACTTGCAGCTTGACTTTGCAGTGACACTTTCAAGATATGGGGAGGAGGTATTTTCAAACCAGCGAGGCGAGACATGCAGAAAATGCACCCAAAGAACCGGTGGCCATGTGCAGAGCAGGGGAGCGGGTCTTAAACACCCGTACGTGTGCAGGTCTCCCCGCTCACCAGCACGCCTGGCTGCACTGGCACACGTGCACATGCACACTCCCGTGCGCGCGCTCCCGCACATGGTCGCACTTCCTTCCTTTGTGTAATGTTCCCCGAGCCCCACTGAAGTGCGGCTGCTCTCCGTCACGCCCTCTGCTTCTGTCAGTCCACAGCCTCCCGTCTCTCTCTCAGTCCCTCCCTTGCCCCGCTTCTCGTTTCCGTCACCCTCGGCTCGTGAACTCGTGCGGTCTGGCCCTCGGCGCTCAGTGCCCTATCTTTCGTTCTCTCAAACACCCCGGCTGTACGAACGTGGCGGAGCGCGGACCAAGGCGAGATATCGCCTCTCAGTCCTCTCTCTTGTTTACATTTTTATTTTCCAGCTTAGGCAAAAAAAAAAAAAAAAACCCAAAACAAAACGAATCTAGTTTTTCAGTGAAATGATTCTTTATTTTTTTTTTGCCCAGAAAATGTGACCATCTCCTGGATGATGGGCCCGTGCATTTGTGCCAGTGTGTTCAGAAATGACTGTGAGGGACCCGAGCTGAATTTTAAAAGCAAAAGATGCAGTCAATCTGAAACATGTTTCACGCAAAAAGTGTCCCTTCAGAAACAGGTAGAAAGTCGCGAGACAAACCGTCCGCCAACGTTTGTCTGTCCACCCACTTCCTTTCTGCTTTTATTTCATATTTAAAAGAATGTATTACAGGGTTCCCTTCCATTCCCCCCCCCACCCCCCGCTGCCCCATTCCCGGGGGAGAGGCGACTCGTTAGAGCTCACAGCCAATCTGCATTTTTAATTAGCAGTTATTGCCGCTGCTTAATATTCAAGTGCATCCTCAGGCCAAATGGGAATCCTTACAGAGAGAGAGACAAAAAGAGAGAAGCCAGCTAGGTATTGTATTTCACCCCAGGATACAGAGACAAAGCACCCCCCTCACCACCCCCACCCCCAAGGGTGAGAGAGGAGGTTGTACAAGGGTGGGAGTTCCCATCACTGGGATGGGAATGGGGGGGTATTTTGTAGCGTTTCTCAACCTGTTAAGCATTTTGTATTTTTTTTTCCCTCCTGTTCTCTTTTGTCTTCCCTCCATCCTTCATGACGTGTCCTCACTACTGCTTTCAGGGATTTTATTTCACTCCAGGCCGAGTGGAAGACTCTCCCATTTTTAATCCACACCCCCCCCCCCCCCCCCCAATAAAAGACAGAAGGATTTTGACTTTACGAAACATAAGAGGCTTATACCATTTTCGCTTTGAACCCAACAAAAAAGTGTTTTTTTTTTTGCCCCATCTCAATTTAGTTGAATTTTTTTTTTCTTTTCATATTTCGGTTTATGCGGAAAGAGCTCATTTGTCAAGGGGGCTGACTCAGGCCTGATTTGCATAAAGCCTTCGTTTTCTCCGTTCCACTAATTAGCAATTTGCAGCTTTAATTGGCGAGTGGCTGGAAGGAAGGGAAAAAAAAAGGACGACAAAGCTAACGACGTTTAAAAATATCTCCAGATGTATTTGAGTATCCATCCACCCCCCACTCTCCTGTCTTATCATCCACTGCTTTGATCCATAAACACAGGGACACCTTAAATAAACCCCTCGGTACAGACGTTTGACAGTTTCAAGAGGGTCTTACTTACCTGATGTTTCAACCAGATGTAAACTTTGTGGTTCACCGGATGTAATAAGATTAATCTTCAATTCGCACCTTTTTGTGGTAATGAGCATGGTAAAGTTAGAGTGCCCCCCGGCTGTCACCTGAGAGCTCTGTGTTTGTCTGACGGCCTCCCTCCCCCCGGTGTTTGTGTTTGTGCACAGCAGACGAGGAGCCTTCGAGCTTCACCTGCCAGGTGTGTGAGGCCGTCCTCCACAGTGCCTGGGCGCTCCTGCAGCATGCCCAGCACGGCCACGCCCTCAGCATCTACCAGGAGGACGCCGACTGGCTGAAGCCCCCCGACGTAGCAACGCTGGACCCACGGCACCTTAGCTCCACCCTGGCCTCCGCTTTTGCGCCCACCTCCTTCCGTCTCCCCATCGGTGTGGCCACCTCCCCCTCGTCCGGCCAGGACCTCCAGGCCCTTAACTTCTCGGTGCGCCTCCGCGAGCTGGCCGAGGGCACCACCGGGGGCGTGGTCCTGTCGCCCTCTCCGTCGCCGCCCGCCGCCTCGCCTTTCCCGCAGCCCCTCCGCCAGCAGACTTTGCAGGCCTGCGAACTGTGCGGCCAGCGCTTCCAGTCGCTGCGCAGCCTGTCGGCGCACCGGCGCACGCACGCCAGCGAGCGGCCTTACCGCTGTGGCCTGTGTGAGCAGGCCTTCTCCCAGAGCGGTGAGCTGGCCCGGCACATGCGGACCCACCGGCAGGGAGCGGCAGAGGAGGGACCCGGGGACGAGCGGGACATCAAGTCGAGGGGTCAGGATGCCCTGGGCGAGGCATCTATCATGGCAGCCCGGGACGCCGCGGAGCACCTGAAGCATGGGCTGGTGTCTCTGGCCCAGGGCCCAGAGCCCGGCAGGGTCCCCGGTGGGCGCAGCCTGCTAAGCCTGGTCCAGCCACATGGGGGCGATGGAGAGACGGAGGCTCCTGGGGAGCCCCAGCAGGCTTCGCCCTGCGGCAGCCCGTCCGATGGCTCCCTAGAGAGCGGGGAGACCGGAGGCAGCGGCGAGAGCGGCATCGCCAGCGGTGACTGCAGCCCCAAGCGGCGGGAGCGGGACGAGCGGCCCCGAGAGTGGGAGAGCGACCGGGAAGCGGAGTGGCAGACCGGACAGGCTGCTGTGGTGCGGGATTGGCAGCGGGAGGGGGAGAACATGCGGGGCCCCACCGTGCTGGTGGCGGCTGGGGGGAGGAAGAAGCGAGAGGAGGCCTGCGAGTACTGCGGCAAGCGCTTCCGCAACAGCAGCAACCTGACGGTGCACCGGCGCAGCCACACGGGCGAGCGGCCTTACCACTGCGGCCTCTGTAACTACGCCTGTGCCCAGAGCAGCAAGCTGACGCGGCACATGAAGACGCACGGCGCCCGCGGCACGCGTGCCCCCTTCTTCTGCCAGTTCTGCAGTGTGCCGTTCACCGTCTACGCCACGCTGGAGAAGCACCTGAAGAAGGCTCACGGCCTGAGCCACGCCGACGTGGGCACCCACAAGGCCGACGGCGACGCCGCCCTGGAGCCCGGCGTCGCCGCCTACTCCGAGATGCGCCTCGTTGCCGACGACTACGCCGAGACGTGCAAGCGAGAAGATACCTCAGTGGTCGCCGGGGATGACGCCGTAGAGCGTGCCACAGCCTCCGTCTGAGGACCTCGCTGTCCGGCAGAGCCTGAGGTGGGGGGGGAGGGGTCGCTCCATGCCCCTGGCCTCTCCGGCAGAGCCGACTGATGGTTACCACCCATCCCAGTAGCAATAACCTGATACCAGCAAGAACACCAGCACACACACTTCTGCTAAGCACTTGTCATGTGGCCAGTCAGGACACCCCCACCCCCATTTTCAAGCATCGTGGTGTTTGGCACAGAAGCACCTTTGACCTAAGACCTCGGCGACATCCGTACCATCCTGACAACAATCCGGATGCCCCAAGTCCTCGATCCACAGGAGGATGCAGTCAGCAAACTAACAATTACCCCGCAAAGGGCTGACCTCATACATGTACTGGGGGGGGGGGTGAACTGACCTGTCTGGACTGGAACCCTGTGACTGGAGAGGACTACCAGTGACGTACCTCCAGAATCATGGAGGAATGCGATGCATTTTGGGTAACCAGCCAACTTGATTACGGCTACCGTGACCCTGTAGAGTGTGGCCCGTTTCCATTATTTTTCTCCATGGTGACATTCAGAGACCCTCCTCACAGACACAGCCCTGCAAACGTGGGCCACCGTCTGTGGCAAAGAGCCCAGTGGAATGGTGTAGTTTCCGGGACAGAAGCTTGAACCTTTGCACGGGGGGGCGGGGAATTAAATTGAAATTCACAGTTGATTGTCGGTTTGCAAGCACAGTAGACTGACTTTGAATGGCCTCAGGACGCTCTCCTCTAATTTATGTTTTTCATGCTTTTTTATCTCTACTTCGTCTTCTATTGCCTTTCTATGCATCGACAAATTGCTGTTTGTACTATCCAAGAAAATAAGAAACGGGTGAATTTTGTATTTGTGAGGGGTTTTTTGTGTATATATATATAAAATATACACAATCACACACACAGACACACATGTACTTAATGAAGTGCTTGAACACTTACGCATGTTTTGCTGAATGGGAAAAATATATTATTATAAAATATATATATATATATATATTTACCCACATGTGAATTTTTTTTTTACTTGTATATGGGCACTTTGAGTGACCGTAGTTGACGAAGTGCTGAACTGTTGTGAAAAGTCAGGGCAGAAAGTTCTAGTAGGTGCTGGTGAGCCAAAGAGCTTCCTGGTTCTGATATATGAGCACTTCTGTGTCTGTTTAATGTTCTGTGTATGCAGGGAAAAGTAATATTGTTTTTTTTTTTCTCTTGTATTGAATTGAAATTGTACACTGATGGCAGGGAGTTTTTTTTTTTCTGAAGCCCTGTTTTTGGGGCATAGAGCATTTATGGAAAAAGTGTGTGCTTGTGACCAGCTTAATTGATTAATTGGCTTATTCAGGGACCAGTGCATTGTAGACTAGGTACAAGGAGAGCCTTTTTGTCGTCATTCCTGTCATTATTGTGGTTCCTTTTATGCCTCTGTCTGCTGGCTGCCTCCTGTACTCTCCCCGACAGCTGCCCAGCGGCCGAGCCCTGTCCTGCGGGCAGAGGGCAGCTTGCTTGTACACTGACTCTATACTGTTACTGATGTAAACGTGAGCAGGACTATTAAAAAAAAAAAAAAAAAAAAAAAGAAAGAAAAGAGATCAACAAAAGGGAGACGTGTCGTCTTTCTGCCGGGTCGTGCGGCGAAGGTGAGGCGTGTCGCAGCCTGTTTGTCACGTTCATTCAGAAAACGGAGCGTGGAGTCCCGCTCACCTGGGCTGTAATTAACTTTCAGCTTATGAATGTTTAATGTTGCTCCCGTGTCGGAGGAATCCCACCCGCGCAGTAAGCCGTTTCTGATCTTAATCCAGATCTAGCGAAACGTATAAGTGCAACCCCCCCCCCCACACCCCCGTTCCTTTGCTCTGAGGGTCTTTGTGTATATGCACCTCAAAGGGAAGGTGAGCTTAGAATATCTTAGAACTCGTGACACAAGTGTAAGGTGGAGGTGAGAGGGTGGTGCTGCTGCCGGGTATGTGTGAGGCACTGCGTGTGGGGTGAGTGGGGGGTAATAGTGCTAATTGCTGACTCCATTGTTGGAGAACACAAAACCTTGTGCCAGCAACTCTGGACCAGGCCCCGCCCCCTCTAATGAGTTTGAAGCTCTATGTTCTCGATGCCTCGTTAACAGCAGGCTTGTTTAATGAGCTTTCAACAGGGTGGGGGTGAGGGAGGACCATATGTGACCTCACCGTACCCCCAGCCACTTCACACAAACATCCCTGTGTCACTATTCGTCATTATACTTAAATTAAAGAAAGTTATTTTTTATGCTTTGACGCCCAAGGAAACATTTGGGCCTCTAGTGGACTCAAAACAAAATGCTACACCATTTGGTTGCCGTGTGGAAGTTATATAAGGTAACATGATATAGAATATAATAGCCTCAGGCAGGTGGGTGAGTTCCCAGCCGATTGTCCCCTTTCTCCAGTTCCACACCTTCCGCAGATCTTCCCAAACCAGTGGCATTTGCGGCCGACCAATGGTGGCCCTCTGCTTATCGGGCTGGGCGCTGTCGTGCTCTGCAGTGATATAATCATCTGACCACGCTGTGCCCCAAGCCCCCCCCCCGGCGGTTCGTGGACTTTGAGACATGACGGCCATATCACACTGGCACAGAGGCCTTTTGTTCATCTGGGGTGAGGTGAGTAGATCTTGTGGCGAAGGCAGGACACTTTTTGTAGACAGTGACGCTGTCGCTGTGCAAGTCACCCGGAAATAATCTCACCAATGGGGGGGGGAAAAAGACAGCGTTGTCCTACAATGTAATGCTGCAAAAACAAACATTTCCCCTTAAAGTTTTCCAGCTAATTATACTACATAACTAGAAAGAGCATTTGAAAATGACATCTACAGTCAACATTCCTTGTTAAATGCTTACACCCCCACTTCCAACATTCGCACAGACTGTACACCACCCCCACCCCCGGTACATGAAACCTGAGCCCTAGAATTACCAATCTGACCCGTTCCTGCAAGTAATTCAACGAACAAGAGTCCTGAAAATAAACCCTGGATCTGTGTACCCAGAAAATGAAGCATGAACATTAAGCAATCTGGGATGCTAATTTGTGTTGACAAAAATCAGCATGTGTTAGAGTGTGCCCAAAAGCATCTGTAAAATTTCTTTCATCTCACAAAGCTCCCCCTCAGAGCAGCTATCTGTAATTCAGTCTGGATGACAGGTATTTCATAACCGTCCTGTTTGCTGTCGTTGTTCTCGGTCGCCTGAAGCGCTGTGACCCAATGGCACACAGTCCCCGAGTATTTGTGATGGTGTAAAGTGTGACAGCAGAGCTGGCCCATGTGGTTGGTAAAATGGAGGCTTGCAAGTAGGAGAGGTGACGTGCTGAGCGTGGCAGGTCGGTGCGCTGCCCCTGTGGATGTGTGTGCAAGGCCTGCCTGCACGTCTGCAGGCCGGCTCTGTGATGCCTGCCTGCGGCTTTGCTCGTTCTCGCTCAGTCTCTCTCTTTCTCTCTCTCTCTCTCTCTCTTTCTCTCTGTCGGATGTGTTGTGCCGACAGCCACAGCAGCCTGGGCTCACATCCCCAACCAGACTGGCAGGTGATAATTGGAACTGAAAAGAGGATTTCTCTTGGAGAGTGGGAGGGGAAGCGACCGGGGCTAATGCTAACAGCTAAGCCATCAAAGGCACCGATTCTATATCAGTAACACTGGTGTTTCTATGTACGCTAATCTGCCCTACGAAGGCAAAACACAGCAACTATACTTACCGACACTGAAACTGATACAAAAACTTCTGAAATGCTTTTGACTGTCCACCTGTATGTGTGGTAGGTTGGCCAATCATAGCTTTTTCTTCCAAACAAAGCATAGCTGAACTATGATATTTTGTCACAAGATAAAACAGAGCCGATTTCAGTCATAACTCAGTTTTGATTAAATTTGTAGTTGCAGTGACTTGCCATTGTATGGCAGTATTGAATTAGCATGTTTGGTCACCGATTCATTAGGAGCTGTCTTGTATATTGTCCTTCGCTAGTATTCTACTGTATCAAACATGCCTGGTCTTCTTCTTCCATTATGAAATTAGGAAAATTTGGTCAGATACAGGGTGGATAGTGGGTGCTCTGGACAGACGTTAGAAAACCACAAAGCTGTTTGTACTCTTTGACTGAAACCTCCATTGGAGAAATCTATCATCTGCCTCTTTTCTAGCTTCCTACCCAAACCGTCAGTGAAAACGTTTCTGCATAATTACCTTTTCCCCGTGACTGCCACCTGATCGAAGTAACCTAAACAGGAACCGGTATTCTGAAACTGACGGCTCTTACTGTTATATAGCGCCTTGCACCTGGTGACCCTCACACTAGTGCTGGCCTGCAGCCAACTGGTCGTACATAGGTCAAGGCTTCCGGCTAATGAGGAACGAGAATAACTGGCCTAGCACAATACTGCTCACAGGCCTGTCTGACACCTGAACCCCTCCGGCCAGCCGGCCTGACTGTCAAAGAGGCCAGGAGATTCTGTGAGGTGTTTGTACAAGGTGTAAGGAGCCCGTATTTCAGTCTATAGATGGACCCACTGTCAGTGAAAATGGTGTGTAAAACACTTGAGAAGTTGAGCTATTCATCCAACCATCTATCGATTTTCTGTAACTTTTTTCGGGATAGATTATGACATATAAATGTTCGTTTATTTTAAACTGTGTTTTAGTTCCCTTTAAAATACGTTTTACGTAATAAAATATGTCATTATATTGCATGTACATGTAAATGAGTTTGAATTTAAAGTAAGGATGTGGCTTTGCAGTGTTGCGCAGAAAGTGCATGTTTGGTATGGAGAGTCATATTCTAACCCCCTGTGCACCTTCAGGACCCCTCCCACGTGCGCGAGCTTTCCGGGAGCCGCGTCCTTCTGCTTCAGCCTGGGCTCGGGGCCGCGCTAATTACGCCCTGATTAGCGGCTTTGTCTGGCGCAGGGGTCGTCGGATCACAGGGCAGAAGGTGTAGGGGGGGGACAGTGTTTGGGGCGGATCGTCGGCCCTTTTTCTCAACCCCACCCTCACAATTCCGAATTTAATCCGGGAGCACAAAGGTCCGTGGGGAAGAATGGTGTGCAATATAATGGATTTTAACAAGGATCCTTATTTTAATCTGTAGTTTAATTCTTTTGCTTAGCTGTATTGCGCTTTCTTATGGCTATGTATAAAGTAGAAACTATTGAATATGAAGGCGAAATGGACTTAATGACTGACATCTCAATATTTTGTGTCTAAAGAAAACGAGTTATGCTGTGCAGACAGGCTTATTTTATTTAGGTAAATGTTTACAAATAATTATAGACCTACCACTATAGACAGAGGTGCAAGTACGAAATCATCTAAAGAATAGGTGGAGCAAAATTGCTGTCATTTTATGCTTTATCATAATATATAATTTGACAGTATCAGACTATGTTTATGTTTTTAACTTGTATTTTCGGGAACATTACGATTTTACTCTTTACTATTACATTGCTCGTGTTTGAATAATGCTCCTGACGTCGTATAAATGTGTTAATAATGATGTAAAAGGATATGTGAGAAAATGTATTTAGCCGTTGATCTTACGAAACAAAAACAAAACACTGGACGCTCTAATAAGCGATGTTCAAATTTCAATTGCCGGACTGTATGTAATGACCTTGTAATGGAGATAGAGCGCCGCCTAGTGGCACGTGATTAGTATGGGACCCAGTTCTGAGTTTGACACTTGACACATTTCTCACCTAGAACACATTTATCTTACTTAACCTGACACTTAAAGACGGGCTGGCAAGGGAAGTTTTGCAACAGCTGAATAAAAGTGTGGCGCTACTGATTTTAAACCACAAAAAGACGTTGCATGATTTATGTTTACACATTTTGCAGCTGTATGAATTAGTTGGAACGCAGGTGAAATCTATAGACTACGTCGTCGTACATAACAAATCAATAAAACGTATTCCGTTTAAACAGTGAAAAACAGTAAACGAAGTTGGGTGATTAGTTATTTGGCAAGGCGTTTTTCTTTTACCCAGTACCCCGCCCATGGGGCATGCATTCCTTTGCGGGCTGGTTCTAGTTAAGAGGCTCCCTAATATCGCCTAACTTAAAGCACCGGGCTTCTTCAGTCACTGCATTAGGGTACGATACTCCGGCGCAGTAGATTCACTCCTGTCAGACACACAGTTTCCTCTATACTGACAGCAGTAGCCTTCACTTATTAAACCTATTTGAAAAGTGCGAGTGCCATGGAGTGTAATAAGGCTGAAGGCTCCAACTTCAACCCCTTGAAGTTTCGGAACCAGGACTATGAGTCCCTACGAGATGAGTGCATGAAGTCCGGCACTCTGTTCTCCGACCCGCTGTTTGCGGCGGATCAGAGCTCCATCGGATTGCCGGCTGACCCCGACCCGAAGAACGCAGTGAAATGGATGCGACCCAAGGTACCGTCCGCATTGATGATGCTATGTAATGCCATGTATCACATGCTGTAAGCGGATCTAATTCTTGGGTGCTTGGAATGCATGCAGTCAGTGTGGGAAAAGCTGAATGTGCACATTTTAAAAGCAATTTCGACAGTAATCTACGGGTGTCTGTTGGACG